GGCGGCGCGCGGAGGAGGAGGAGCTGGTGAGGGTCACGGATCGCCTCCGGACGCTCAGTAAATATTTGCTGAATGAATGAGCGGCGAGCTATCGCCTTCGCCTCCGGGAGCGTCTGCAGAAGCCCCGAGAGCCGGAAGCCCGGCTTCAAGGCCCACAGAGAACTAGTGCAAGGGACACAGGCGCTTCAAAAGTATCCGATCTAGGGGACCTTCCGTTAGGAAACTGTTGACAAAGTTCTAATCTGGAAATCCCAAACTCAGGGACTTAATTCTCGCCAGTTACAGTTTCACACTGAGGGAAGGTGTCCGCTCCAAGGGGTCCCCTTTCCAAATGGCCCCCTGCCCAGAAGGCACCCCTGTGGGGATGATCCGGGAACATCCCTCTCGGTCTTTCTCCAGACTTGGACTAAGGACTCCAGAAGGTGGCAGCTGAACTGCACAGAGAGGAGCGTGGCGCCCTCTGCGGGGAGATGCGCTTACCCCAGAAGAGACCAGAATGAGATAGACTCTACTTACTTAGTAATAAAACTTCAGACTAAACAGCCAGTTAGCTTCGCCATCTGAGAAAATACTTATTGCGAGAAATTGTGTTTTTGTTGGAGTCTATGGAGGCTTTCTTTCCAGTTTGGAACCTGACAAGAATAGAACATGAAATTAAAACACGCAGTAAAAGACAGACATGCTTGATTAGAGATGAGTGAGCTCTGGTGACTTTTTGCAAACTATGCCTGAATAGTTTTTTGTTCTGTTTTGTTGTTGTTCCTGATTTTCCTCTTTAGAAAGGATGTCCCGAATTTGAAGTCTTGGATGAGAGAACAGCATCTTTCTTAAAGTGTTTCGGTTACCTCTCGTTTTAAATGTTAATTTTGTAACTCAAAGTTAAACACGATTACATAATTTGTCATTTATTACCTTTGTATTTTTGTGGTTGTTGTTGTTCTCTGTGTAATAGACCTGGCTATCCTGGAACTCACTTTGGATACCAAGCTGGCCTCGAACTCACAAAGGTCTACCTGCCTCTGCCTCTGAAGTGCTGGGATTAAGGGCGTGCACCACCGCCCAACTTTACCTTTGTAATTTAAAAGTAAATTTTCATTGTGTACTTAATACTAAGTGTTTAAAAAATATAAAATCAGCCGGGCAGTGGTGTTGCACACCTTTAGTCCCAGCACTCAGGAGGCAGAGGCAGGCAGATCTCTGTGAGTTTGAGACCAGCCTGGTATACAAGAGCTAGTTCCAGGACAGTTTCCAAAGCCACAGAGAAATCCTGTCTTGAAAAAAACTAAATAAATAAATAAATAAAATCACCAAAAAATATAAACAGGAAAGCAACCAAATTACAACCTGAGCTACTATGCTAAACAGAGTTCTGAAAAGAAAATAAAAATGGGTAAGAAGCACTCAAAAAAAAAAAAAAAAAAGAAAGAAAAGAAAGTAGGTTTACACAGCAAAACATATTTCCATCAGTGTAGTCCTGACATCCACAAAGACTCCCACCATCTCCCCAAAATAACTTCTTCTTGGTCAGTGACCTCATGATCAACTTAACCAACCAAGCTAGTTAATTTCTTCTTCCTCTATAAGTGGCCTACTGTGTGTTTGGCACTGATCCTGGAATGGAGGTTCAGTAGTGAGATAAGTGAGGCCCCCACCTTCTTCACACAGCTGCTGGAGGAAGTAAGACTAGAAGAAATGAATGCATGTTACAGGAGGCTAGGCCTGCAGAGAAACCCTAGCAAGGTGCATGGGGAGTGTGGGTACCATGGATTCACAAAGAGGCATCTGGAAAGACCTCCGAGATAAGAGCCCATTGACGGACAGAACTTCAGGAAGTGAGGGTGGCCCATAATGGGGGGGGGGAGTGTTCTGGACGGCCTGCACAGCAAATGCAAAGGCCACCGAGCAGGTCTAACAGGCTCCAAACTGGCAAAGGATCTGAGTGAAACAGAGGAAGCCTGGCTCAAGAGACAAAACTGGAGCAGGGAAGGAGTACCATGACCAGGATGAGGACTTACTATGTTATTTTGCAAGAAGCTCTGGAGGTTTTGAGCTTGGGCTGGTGGGGATACCAGACACTGTTCAACTGTTTGCAAGGGCTAAGGATGCCAGGTTCCCAGCCAGGGATGGTAGATGGCTGGGAAAAGGGCTTGAGTTCTGAACACAAGCTGAAGGGAGTGGTAACAGGAGGACAGTGGGAGCAGAGAGGGACTCTACATGAGGCTTATTTGCCTCCCTGATTTACTGTCATGTATTTCTGGAAAAGATTTGACAAAAAGATGTGCTTATGTCTCGTTGTTTTGTTTTTTTCTCATTTTGGAGTCTTTCCTCAAACTGTCTACACTCAGGCTCTGCAAATCTTGGCTTTGGTGTGTGAGAGGCAGACAAAGTCTGTGATGAATGAATGGATGACTCCAAAACCGGAGGCTTGAACAACTGGTGAGCACAGCTGCTATTTTTGTTTGTTGATCTGTGGTATCTGCCTTGTTTGTGCCTTCTATTTTGGATCAAAGTTTACTTCCTAACTTTGAATACTTCCTAGGATTTACTTCCTCACCCATACACCGCTCAGCCACTGCTTGCCCTGGACTTTAGCAGCTGTCAACCTTGGTCAGCTCACTCTTCGTAGTTACAGGCTGTTTCCAAAACTCGGATTTGAATCTGGGCTCTGGAGGTTTCAAGCCTGGCAATGATTGATTTTAAGAGAGCTGGAGGAAAATGGAAAACTTTCATTACAACTTGCAGTGTGTTTGTTCCTTTCCCTCTGCAGACTGAAGTCCACTCACTTTGTTATATCAGATGGTTGTATCCCAGTTTGAAAATCCATTTAAATCATAAAAGCACAGCTATTCAAAGCCTTGTTATTAAAATGAGGTTTAAAATTAGAGAGTTGACCAGATGGGTAGGTAGAATAACAGCATGTTTTCCAGAATTATCCTTTCTTTTTTCCTCTGGTGCCTTTTCAGAAGGGAAAAAAAAAATACTCCACAATTACAGATACTTAGATTCCAAAGCCCATAAGAATACCAGCACTTCACAGAAGAATGCTCGAATCTGTGCTTGCAGGAGCTCCAGAGAAAGAAACGAGGAGAAATGAATTTCTAGGGTAGCGTGATTGGCCTGAATTCTGGAGCTATCCTCGACAGTACCTAATATAGAACAGCAAGACAGCTCTACTTTCCCCATTGATCGGCTTTATTTTACCAAGTCTGCCTGACACAAGTTTCTTTTAAGAGTGTATAGAATCTGTTAAGGACAGTTTTGTGGGAATTGTTTTGTTTTGTTTTCTAAATAATGAAGTGAGTTGCTGTTAGAACTACACAAAATAATAAGGAATTCAAATGATTTCTGAAGGGGTGATGGAGGTGGGGATGGCACACACCTTTAATCCCGGCACTAGGGAGGCAGAGGCAGGCAGGTCTCCATCAGTTCTGGGCCAGCCTGGTCTACAGAGTTAGTTCCA